TATATATATATATATATATATATATATATATATATATATATATATTTATTTTATATATTATATATTTTTTATTTCGATCTATTTCTATTTTTCTATTCGATCGTAAAAAAATATTTTCTATCCCCTCAATTTTATTATTTAAATAATTCAAAAAAGGATGGATTTAGTATTTGCGACAATAAACTTACGAGCTTCTATAATACCAATTAATAATTTAAATAATAATTTAAATATTTTAACATTGCAATAGAATTGAAAGGTTTGTGTGTGTGTGTGTTTTTTTTTTTTTAAATTTACGGGATACATTAGAACCAATTTTTTGTTCCTAATAAATTTCAAATGTTACCAACGGAAATTCTGAAATCTGGTGTAACAGCAAAAACAAAAAAAAAATCTATTAAATACCAACTTTAACGTTTATTCGTAGTTGCAATCTGTCGCCTATTGATCGACAATAGATTGTAACACACACACACACACACACACACATACACACAGAGATAAAAAGAGTTACCAAATTGATACGAGTTGTATCTCCTACGGCATTTGATAAAAATAATAAACAAAAAATAGGAAAAAACAAAACAAAAAAAAACACATATTTCCACATAGAGACCACGTATAACCATATAGTCTAGCACAAGATTTGAAAGGTTTCAACTATTAGCAAGGATGCATAGATTCTCCCGTTTCGATTCAATTTAAAAAAAAACAAAACTTTTTTTTGGTTTTTTTTTTTTGGGTTGTTCCTATATTTTATCGTGCACAGGAAATCCCCCTTCCCATCCTGCCCCGCCATCCCATTTTCCACGTTCCTCTTTCTCATTCTCAATCAATTTGGTTTGCATCGATGGAAATGAAACGTTAGAAGAAAAAATATATATATATATAAAAACAAAAAGAAGAAATAAAGGAAAAAAAAATAACAAATTTAATGATTCGTAAGCGTTAGACAAATAAAACCTCGGTGGCAAGTTAATTTTAACAGCTCGGTAGAACTCGTTAAAGGACGCTAATTAGACGCAAGTATCTTATTGACCTACTTCGATACTTTTTTGATATTTATACAAAAAAAAAAAAAAATATATGTATATATATATATACATCGAATAGGGAGAAAATTAAAAAGAACACTGCCAGTTTTTTTTATTGGGGTTATTATGTGTGCTGTGTGTGTGTGTGTTGGTTAATTATTTGTTTTTTTCTTTGTCTTTTTATATATATATATATTTTTATATATCACCATATAAAAATATACTACGGCATTAACGTATGGCAATTAATCTTTGATCGAATTGCAATTGAATTTTTCAATCGAACGTAAGCGTATTTTGTTTCGTTTACATTTGGATAATTGCATTTGCACGTGTTTTTTCTTTTTTTGAATGATTTTAGAATAAAAAAAAAAAGAACAAAATAGTGTTTATTGTTATTAATTAATGAAGGGACTGTATATTTTTATTCTGTTACAGATGTACGAAATGAAAAAATAAATTGCAGACGTTCGTCAGGATTGGTTGCTTATCCAAGAATCGGAAGAAGTTCCGAAATGACGGAATTTCAAAGAACATCAAGACCTGTTGGTATCATCCCATATCCAAGACCTGGACGATCCAATTTACCATTGTTTTTCATTGGTGCTGATAGAAAACACGATATGGGATCAAACATTGATTTAGAAATCCTTCCAACTCGTGAATCCGAGATCGAATCTACCTACGAATCTGATTACGATGGTAAACAACATTTACAAATCAATTTAAATACGTAACAAATTGTTTTTAAACGAAGTAAAATAATTAATAATAAATCAAAAATAAACGTGTTTATGTTTTTTTTTCTTTTAGAATTTCATCCAGATTTAGGAGCATTCGTGAGACATCTGGATAAAATTTATCCTAAATTAAAACAACACGATGATTTACAATCCAACAATCTTGCCTTACGTACGTTTTTAAATCTTATCAAAATTAATTATCAAATTAATGTTTGATTTGTTTCATTTTTTTCAAGGTTAATTTATTAAATATATTCCTTAAATATTTTTTTTATAAAAAAAAAAAACAAATTTATATGCATACATGTCACTAATATTCTTGAGCAAACCTTTCGAACGTAATTGTCATGCCTAATCCAACAATCTTGCCTTACTAAGTTTATAAATCTTATCAAAATTAATTATCAAATTAATGTTTTTTTCTTCTTTTTTTCAAGGTTAATTAATTAGATATATTCCTTAATTATTTTTATAAAAAAAAAACAAATTCATATGCATACATGTCACTAACATTCTCTACTAAACCTTTAATCATCAAACCTATAATATTCGAATGGAAAACAAAGGGGTAAAAAAAATTATTTCGTAAAATAAAAAAAATGTCGTTAATTCCTTGAAAAATTTTGGTAATGTTTTATACATACTTCCAATTAGTAAACATATTTGTAAACGTGCGTGTAAAATAATCGATTAACATTATAACGCGAAAGTGTTAGGTTGTACCTAGAGAAATGCACTAACGGAATTAATCTTAGCAAGGTTGGTCTGGGATGTTGGTTGGCAATATGGCAAATCCGATACACGGTGCCTTCACAATTTAGTAGGCAATTAAGTGTTCCTAGTGGCTAATGTGTGGCACGATAAATCAACGTAGGTCATTAGTTTCCATACTACTATCCGAAAGCGCATTCTCCGTTAGCTTCGTTCGATCCTCTTCCTACTACCACCATTTCATCCTATTTCATCCTATTTCACCTCATTCCAACCCACCTTATACCTTTCTCTCTCTATTCATCTATCTATCTATCTATCTATCTTTATCTCATTCTCTCTTATTCAGGATATTCACTATGATCGCGTGACTTCTCTGGATGGTGAGGATGATCATTAGACATCGTTAACCAAAATCGTGTTGAGCTATCCCTTTTAATAGATTGTTCAAATTTACCCCTTTCCTTCCTTCCTTCCTTCCTATCTTTCTACCTTTTTTTTTTTTTTACAAATTATCTTATCTTTTTTAAATTCTCATTCGATTTCTCCCTTATCAACAGGTTCTCAACCGCGTCAAGGACAAATAACGTGGAGTTTACCGAGAAGTGGAAGAGATAGTACCGATCACAATCCTTCCGCGAATGTCCTTTGAATTTGATCCTGCTGTAGAAGAATTTCGTGATTTTTAATCAAACGAAAAACGAAAAAAAAAAACAAGACGAGGAAAATAATCTATTAAACACGAGAGAAACAAAAAATGAAAATGAACAAATAAAAATAATAAAAGATAAAATAAAATAAAATTCAAATAATMATTTAACGAAAGGAAGATTGAGAATAAAACCAAAAAAAAAAAATAAAAAAAATGTGTGACGATATTGAAAAAAAAAGAAAAAAATTCTTTCATTTAATCAACTGATCGTAAACTTACCTTCGAATTTTCTTCTTCTTTTTCTTCTTCTTCTTCCTCCTCCTTCTCTTCCTTCTCCCAATTGGTCGACTTTTTAATTCCCATCTGATATCTGATACATTTTATCAGAATAAAACTAGAGTAACACATACATACATAGACACACACACACAGACATATACATACACATGCAAGAATAGTTTTCAGATTCGTTTACGTATTAATACACTTACTCGTAAACTTCTCTCGTTAAAACAAAGGTGTACGAGAAAGAGGAAGAAGAACAAGAAGAGAGAGAGAGAGAGAGAGAGAGAGAGAGAGAGAGATAAAATAAAAAAAGATAGAAGCGGGACCAGGTTGTTTCTATGGAAAATTACATATTCTATTATATTTCTGTCTCTTGTCCTTTGTCCCAGTAAACCTTCAATAAATTAAATAAGTAATGTGTATAGCCCTAGAACGAAACAAAAATCATTACCGAGGTAACAATGATCCCCGTTATTATTCACGATTTGCTTTTCCCTACATCGACTATGTTCTATATATATATATATATCACTGTGCATACTTCCTTTTAATCAATGAGCAAATTAATTATATGTGCTAAAAGAATAATTACAAAAAATATATATATATATATATATTATAGATATATACATATATGTACAAAATAAACCATTGTATCTATATTAAATGACGAAGACAATAAAAATGAGATCTTTGATCAACTTTGTTGCAATTTCTGTAAATGATAATGAAAATTAAAATAAATAATAATATAATATTAATAATAATTAGTATATCAATTGATTTGATACTTGATCTTTTAAAGTAACCCTTTAATGAAAGGCTTAAAAATAACAATAATAACAATAATAATAATAATAATAATGATTATAGTTTGTTGAAATTTTGATAAATGACACTAGAAATCAAATAAATAATAATATAATATTAATGATAAAATAACGCAAATTAAACAATTATATTATTAACGATAAATATATCATTTGATTCAATACTCGCTTTCTCAAAGCAACCCTTAACGAAAGGGTTAAACATACAAACAACCAATTATAGTCTGTTGGAATTTTGATATAAATGAACCCTAGAAATCAAATAAATAATAATATAATATTAATGATAAATAATATGATTAAACAATTATATTAATTATTAGTATATCATTTGATTGAATACTCGCTCTCTGCAAAGCAATCCTCTAACGAAAAGGTTAAAAATACCAACATCAACAACAACAACAATAACAACAACAATAATAATAACAATTATAATCCTGATATATGAAAAAATAAAAAAGGTATGAAGATTTTGACAAGTCAACGGTATATAAAATTCAATCGTTTTATTAATTGACAAAGTGTTCATAATGAATACCGATGTATCTCCCACGTGGATTCGCGTACGCTTAAAACTCACGTGGATTTTGACACCGAGAGACGTGTCTCGTCGTAATGCGTGTTACGTAATAACAAATATGTACACACGAAGATTATGTAACAAACTAGTGATATACTTTGAGAATGAATGTAGAGGTGGTTTTCAGGATAGAGTGGATGATTGGTGGGTGGGTGGTTGGGGGTGGTTGGTTGGGTGGCAGTGGAGAAGGAAGAAAATTTGAGGTATGGGAAATGAGGATTACGATAGGAGACGGAAATGGGTGGTGGTGTTGGATGATTGGTTAGGGGGAGGAGGGATGCAAAGGTACGGAGAAGAAATAATCGGCCGTGAAAGAAGGAAAGATTTTTTCTTCATTTTTTTTCTTTTTTTTTTGTTCATGTCTTCTTCTTCTTCTTCTTCTTCTTCTTCTTCTTTCGTTCGTCTCACGGTTATCGATTCGTTCGATGAACTTTTATTTATTTTTTTTTTTTGGAGGAGGAGGAGGAGATTCGCGAACTATGTACAAATGTCCCATTGTCATTTTCTTTTTTTTCTTTCTTTTTTTTTTTCGGAGACATCGACGACTAAAAAGGAAACTCTCTTTCTCTTTCTTTTTTTTTTTTTTTTATATATGTATAAGTATTTTTATCTTTTTTTATTTCCCCATCGTTTTTTTTATCTCTTACTCTTGTTCTTTATCTTTGATCGTATTCTCTTCGTCATTTGGGTTACGAGATATTCTCGGGCACTCACGCAAGCAGGCAAGGCGGGCAGACAAGCGGACAGACAGATATTCAAAATTCAGAGACAGGTGTCAACCTGACACGTAGCTAAAATTGCTCCTTTTCTGGAATCACCGGTTTCTCTTCGTGTCTCTGTCCTGGAATCTCGAGAACGTCATAATACGCTCTTTTCTCTCTCTCTCTCTTTCTCTTTCTCTCTTTCTTTTTTTCTTTTCCTTTATTTCTATATCCCTCTCACAAAGGAGGGATCACGTTGAGAATAAGTCTCTCTGTTCGTTCCTTTAGCTCTAGGATCAGCCTTGGAGTCTCTTTTATCGGCTGAATGTAAAAGACAGACGTTAAGAAAGGAAGAAAGAAAGAAAGAAAGAAAGAAAGAAAGAAAAAAGATGAAGAAACTCGCGAGCAACGAACCGAGATGACGCGTGCATCGAACGAGTTCCAAATCAGCCGATCGATCACGGCTTTTAGTTCATATTTTTTCTTTATTATCGCGCACACGAAGATATCTACGCGAATCTAGGATAGATTTAGTCTAAAGAGAGACGAACTCGTGGGGTGGTTGTATGATTCGCGGGGGTGGCGGCGGGGATAATCTCAAATCGACGTCGGTCAGGGAGAAGGCGGAACTTCCGTTGGCAGTGACCCTCGGGCCCATATTGTCGTAGGGTGAACCAAGATCCGTTGCGTTTCGAAGGGCTCGTCGAGGAAGCGTAGCAAAACTCGATACACAGGGGGTGGAGGGTAAAGCAGCGACCGTGTTTTTCTCGGTAACGCCACTTACCGCACCGTGGACCGGAATGTCCAATAAATCCGGGTAACAACGTTCCGTCGAGTCCTGGGGTAAAGAGACGGAGATGAAGATGTTGCCGAAAATACCGGCTGGCAAAACACCCGTTGTAAATTCCGGTGGAGGCGGGGGAAAACCGGCGGGACAGGGAATGGCACGACACACGCTAGTCGAATTGCTTATCTCCGGTCTAAGTCTTTCTACCGTCACCGTGGCAGCTCCCATGTGATCACAGATAGAAACACGTTCGGCCAGTTCGAGATCACCGGTGCTACATGCCTCGGCCAAACTACCATGACCACTGGCACGATCGTTCGCGCTACCAGCCGTCGTAGTAGTCACTGATAGATCCAAAAGTTTCTTTTCTTGATCACCGAAGCTCGTACTCCCTTGCAATTTGACTTTCTCTCGTTTGCCGTTACGACGGCTACCACCGCACAAGCAGCATGCCAATAGAATGGCAGAAACGGAAGCACCAAGAGCAGCTGCCCCACCGCCAGCTAGGCTAACCCAAAGTAACCAATTGTCGCTCTGGGACAATGTTGGTGCCGTGTAGACACGTGGTATGGCTATGCTTACGGTGTCCCTTGCAAGACCAGCTATGTTTTTTGCGTAACACGCGTACTCTCCTGCGTCCCCGTCGCTTGCATTGTAAACAGTTAAATTGCTCCACCTGTTGGTAGCTCTCTCGGATTTCTCGTTGTAGACGAGATTCGTGTCGGAGGATACACGAGTTACGTACGTCCCAACGTAAGCTTGATCGGAAATTCTCGTTGCGTTAACGGGACCACCGTTCAGTTGCCACCATACTTCGGGTTCCGGATCTCCGGTGGCCAAACACGCGAGACTCAAATTACCATTGCTCTCCTCTTGGGTGGTACTTGCCGATACGGATACCTCAGGTTCGCAAGCGAATTCACCTGGCTTCACTTCTTCCCATCTTCGACCTTCTAGTCTTTTCGGCCCGAAACAAAACTGTGGCACGGAATACAATTTGCTTGGGGTCTCCGGTATCAACCAAGTACGAAATCCTCGTAATTTGCAATCGCAACTCCAATGATTGCCGTCCAAGGTAAGAGTCTTGAGACGTGGTAGACTCGATATGACCGGAGCATCCAAGTACTCGAGTTCGTTGCTATCGAGTTTGAGAGATTCCAAGCCTGCGAGTCTGACGAAGGCTTGCCCGTGTATCTCGGTCAAGGAACACCTCTGTAATTCCAAAGTCCTAAGGTGTTGGAGAACAGGAAATTGATGGCTCTTGAGCTTGCCCAAAGGATTACCGCTGAGTATAAGAATCCTAAGCCTCTCGTTACCGAGGAAAGTGTCTGGCTCGAGATTTTTCACGTGATTGTCCGAAAGATCGATTTCCACGAGTATCCTCATGTCTCTGAACGAGTCCGCGTGAATCTCGTGAATGCCGGCGTTTCTCAAAAAGACTCTTTGAAGGTTCAACAAACCGGCACGCTTGAATATCTCCGATTGTAAGGCCGGTATTTTGTTGCCGGATAAATCCAACACTTGCATGTCCGGATCCAAGGAAGCTGGAAGTGAGGTCAGTCCAGCATCCGGACATAAGGCCGACTTTTTCCCGGACGTCCACTTGCATCTGCAAACGGCAGGGCAATCCGTCCAGTCAGGAAATGCTGCCGCTTTCGATGGCAACGCAAAACTTCCGACGAGTAAGAATAGGGCGAGTAATATGCGCCCTCGTAGAGGGTGTTGCCTTGTAACTAACATACTCCTCCGGCAGTTCAGCTTTCTCGTCGACACGGTCACCAGCCGACCGTTGATATTCTTCGGTTGGCTCGACGAACACGAGCCTGCGAACAAAAGAATTTAACGTACGAACAATGAAAATAGCTTTTATTTTTTCTACTCAACGAACGAAACAATTTCTTTCCTATACTCTCACACATAGATACGCGCGAATCAATTGGAAGCCGTGGAGTTTTAGAATCGAATAGAAAGAGAACAAAATAGATAAATCCAAACGATATCCCCGAGCAACCATAGAAACGTATCTTCGATAAAACTATTAGAGAAAAAGGTTCTTCTCTGGCTACCATACTATGTATACTTTGTGTATTAACTCTAATGTTTACTTTTTCTACATTCCCATTGGTGGTTCGTTTAGAATCGTTTATTATCTCAGAGTCTTCCAATTATGCTAAGGGAAAAAGTTAGATACATAAGAAGAAAACTAAAAGAGGTTGTATCGGTAACGAAGCGCCTTGTTCTTACTTTGTAAGAAGAATGTTTCCCTTGGGCACGGCTAAACATGGTCTCCACGAATCTGAAAGAGGCCGTCATGCTTGCGTGGACGCTTCCATTGTTTCTCAGGAGCTTTCATTTTGCCCACCGGTCCTTCGGGCATCGCGAGGCTATTGTTGCCGGAGTCTTGGATTTCATCCTGATTAAGTAGACTCAATGCACGCGTAGACCGGAACTCGGCCTACTTTCGAATCCACGGATATATTCTTACGGCTTAAGCTGCAAAAATAAAGAAAATAAATCATTCGGATTTATCCTGTAACAGATTTAACTTCCAAGAGAATGCACGTGACAAAAAGAAAAATTCAAAATGAAAGAGAAGGAAAGATAGATGGAGATAAAGTGTCTGTAAGAGAGAGAGAGAGAGAGAGAGATAGAAGATAATAGTCATTCGATTATGATCAGACATATAAAAGATAAAAAAAGAAGATCGTTACCTAATACGGAAGCAATCCGATTTCCAAAAGAACCACAACGTTTGCCCCTCTCTCTCTGGAGCTTCTCAAGTTTCTACCCATCCTGTCAACCTTCGAGCCTTCCTGTCCGAGCACGTCGACGCATTAATCGTTTCACGCTTCACGTGATTTCTCCTGTCTCGGAATCACCAGTTTAACTTTCAAACTCATCGCCTGTGAACGAAGGAAAATGGACAACACTGCTTACGTCGTCGATTATATCAGAGAACACAAAACGTCATAGGAAGAACAAACTCTCTCTCTCTCTTTCACTCTCTCACTCTCTCACTCTATACATCTATATACATATACATATATATATATATATATTCTGTGTAGGATAACGCGCGCGCGCGAGCGTGTATGTGGCAGAAGTCTGTGAAAGAAAAGGATAGAAAACAGGCAAAAGGAAAGAGGAAAAAGAGAGAGAGAGAGAGAGAGAGAGTTCTTTGACCTTCCACGTTGGGAAAAAAAATGAGTAGGAGGAGGAAGAGGAGGTGGATGTGAGGATGAGATGATGAAAAAAAAAAACAGATGAAAAAGAAGAAGAAAAAGACACTGATATCGGACACGTTAGATAACACGTTCGAATTATGTGGGAATAGGGGTGAGAAGGAGGGCTTGAGAGGGGGGGGCGAAGGAGGGAGCGAGCGGGAGGTACACGTAGAAGATAATGTAGAAAAGTTGTGTTAGGTTTTGTACTCTCATCGACCTGAAAAAAATTGCAACCCCGTTCGGATCCCCCATCGGTGTGTGTCTAACAAGTGCATCGCCGATCGGGCCGGCCATCGACCGCAGCGCGACCGTTCCATTACATCACGGCTTGGTACTTGAATTAATGCACGCACACACACACACACACACACAAAGACACACCACATGAAGGAAGGAACAAGTGCCGTGGTATCGCGGCCGGCCAACCAATCGCGCTCCCGCTTATAACCTCCCTCGAGCCTTAAAGACGAGCGTACAACGTTTCACTCTCGAAATTGCGAGCGTCGGGGACGATGATGATGCTGCGCAACCGTCGGTGAATCTCGGGAGAGATGGGAGCAGGGCGGTTGACTGAGAGAGAAAGAGAAAGAGAGAATGAGAGAGAGAGAGAGAGAGAGAGAGAAAGGAAAAATTAAATATTTCCCCGTTCACCGTTCCACCTTCCTCACCCTCACTAACTCACTCTCTCGCTCTCTCACTCTCTCTCTTTTTTCTCCTCGCGTACACTTTACAGCAAGATAGTATTAAAGGTTGAAAGAATAAAAAAACGACAAACGTATATAAGGATAAAAAAAATAAAAAAAAGAAGGACCAATTTACTTTTGAAGTTTTGCAAACGATGATGCCACTTTAAAAACACACTGTTTCACACGTTTATAGTTAAAGATTATCGATAGTATTATTATACATGGATAGACGGAGATCAATCACCGTGTATTATCCTCACCAGTACGAATTGTAAATGTGTATGGAATATGTTCGATGATGTGTTTTATCTCTTTGAATGTAAAAGAGAGACAGACGACGACCCCCAGAAAAATTAACTGTATGGTTAATTAGTCATTAACGTTTAAAATGTGGGAGTACTTCGAGTGATCTTCCTTCCTTCCTTCTTCCTTCCTTCCTTCCTTCTTTTTTTTCTATTTCAGAATGTCCTGTCGAGAATCAATCAATCCTCTCGTGTTGGTTTGAGTTTTGTGGCAGGCGACAACGACAACAACGACAACGACGATGACGACGACGACGACGACGCGACTCCGCGGGAATGGCGAGAGGCGTAGTACGCGGTCTCCATGCTTTTAGAACGGACCAACGAGACCAATCCGCTGTCGGTTCCTCCATCGAGAATCCTCATCGTCTCTCTACCTGTCTCTCTGTAGAACACCGGAACGGTGAACCACGGAGAAAGGCCGACTGAGTCAACGAGTTAGAATGAGACAGACAGCGAGAGAGAGAGAGAGAGAGAGAGAGAGAGGGAAAAGGGAATCGAGTATGTCACTGTCTATCTCACTCACTCTCTCCTCTCTCTCTATTACTCTGCCTATCCATCCCCCCCTCTCACTCTCCCTCCAGGTACGTGACTCTTCTTCTTCTTCTTCTTCTGCTTCGTATGTGCGCGCCAGCAGCCAGTATCTCTCCCTTCTTCTCTAACGATGAGAGTAACTGAGAGAAAGAGAGGAGTGGTGGGAGATATGAAGTGGCAATCGAGATGAGAGTAAGAGAGAGAGAGAGAGAGAGAGAGAGAGAGAGAGAGAGAGTGAACCAGTGTCGTCGTCCTCCGGCAAAAGGATTTAGAACTCGANGGGGGGGGGGGGTGGTTGGTTGGTTAGTTGGGTTTGCTCGTACTCGAGGCTACTATTTTTGTAATCACGAAGAAAAGGTGCTGAACTCTCGCGATAATATTAAAAGTTGCCGAATATAATAATCTTTAAATGATAAAAGAAAAAACGGGTGCAGTCACCGGTCCGTTTATTTCCAACGTTAACCCACGGAAGTCTGCAGATTTGCCGCAGCGGCCACCGACACGATGGATCTTCTGCTGTATCCGCGTATACCGAAACTCTCCTCTCTTCTCTCTCACTCTCTTTTACGTTCCCCTTTACGTTCTCCTCATCCACACACACACACACACACACATACATACACTCTACTACCCTTCCCTTTGCACCCTCTCTCATTCCCTCGCACCTATCGCCACTCTCGCCAAATCCCCCACTCGTCGTTCGACTTCGACTTCCCCACTCTCTTTTCTCTTTCACCCTCACCTTTTTCTCTTCATCCCCTTGGTTCCTCTTCCCTCTCTCTCTCTCTCTTTCGTACTCTCACGAATTTTCTTGCCGCATAGTCGTCGCGAGCAGCACCGTCGAATTCTCTTCTCCGCGTTCAATGAAAACCACCACCATCTCTACCACCACCACCACTACCAGTAGCCACCCTTCTTCGCTCTAATCTATTCCACTACGAATCGTTCAACCCTACGACACCCTTACGAACTTCCACAATACCGTTTACTTTGTCTACCCTCCGCCAGGCGTCGCAACGAATGGTTTTCAACGTAGGCTGGTAACTCGATCGACTAGTTACCCCCATGAAATAAATGTCGCCACGATCTTCTTTTGACTTACCCCTTTGCCAATGTGTTATATCAGTCGTCTCTATGTTCTACCAATTCCTAGCAAGAAAATCAATAAACTCGTTGTTACTTTTTCTTTTTCTTTTTATATATATATATTTTTATTTGGTTGTATTCAAAAACAATTCTCAACCAACAGACGTCGAGAAATCTTGCTAACCGATCATCGCGATGCTTACCGACGCAGTTAAGGGTAGTTTCAGGAATCACGTCGATTACGATGAAATTCTCTACTATCGTTACGTTGGTACTGACGTTTCCTGCAAATCGATTTTTACCTTATAATCCTTCTTGCACACGCCCTTGATATAATATTCGGGTCAAGAGAAGGAACAAGTGATTCTTATTTTCAACCTGGATTACGTAGAACGCTTTCTAAAAATGACTCGATCGAAATTTTTTCCATCTACTATTTTATTTTCACTCTAATTTGCATCTAACCATATAAGCATGATTTCCTCTTCCTCCTTCTTAGAATAAAAAAAAAAAGAAAAAAACAAAAAGTAGAATAATATCTATCGATCTTATATACGTATTTTTGATACTTACATCTATAATTGATCTATTCATAGAAAACAAAAAACAAGAAAAATATTGTTCAAATAAATCAAATGTAAAAAGATAGATGAACAATTCACGTATGAACAAATAAATCGGTTTAAATCGATATATATATATATATGGTGTAGATGTATAAGTAATATCCCATGAATAAATATTAGAGACTATTATTAGGATAAGTGCACTTATGTACATCTATAAGTGTGGTAGAAACGATCTTTGGGAGTTAGAGGAGGGGGGGTCTGAGTGTAATCATATTTCTTACGTTAATTAACCAAATTTGTGTATGTTCGTTTAATTAAAATTGAATGAAAAATGAGACTAATGGTCGTAATCGAAACTGAATGTAAAAAAAAAAAAGTTGCTTTACCTTCCTTTTTTTTAACTTTGTTTAATGTGCCAGGTATGTGTGTCTGTATGTGTGTGTTATCTTTTCTTTTTTTTCTTGGCACACGAAAAGATACATGCAACGTCACGAGGGGACATCCACGAGAATCCGATATGGAAATGAACTTTTATTATTGCTCCTTTTTTTTTTATCTTTCTTTTTTTTTTTTGCTAATTACACTTCGATTAAAATCGAAGCACGAATTCTCCGCAGTCTTCTCGAGTAGAAGAAGAAGAAGAGGAAGAAGAAGAAGAATAAGAAGAAATAGAAGATAGAAGAAGTAGAAGAAAATAATTCTAATTTTTAAGCAGCACGTTTTTCTATCATAGAACACGTGAGTAGTGTATAGTATTAGTATTAGTATTAGTAGTAGTAGTAGTAGTAGTAGTAGTAGTTGTACATTATTTATTATATACAATAATTCATTTTCTCCTATTTTGTTTCATTTCTTATTTTTCCTCTATTTCTTATCTCGTCCTCTATTTTTTTTTTTCGTTCTTATTTCATGTTTTTTTTCTTTTTTTTTTTTTTTTTTTTCATTTTCATTGTTTATAATAGTTGTTTTTTTTTTCTTATTATTTGTTTGTTTGTTTGTTTTTTTTTTGTTTGACACAAGGATCTTGCGCTTTTTCAAAGATTTTATTACAAGAATATAGTATAAACTTTCGTTCGATAAGTACGCACACCGTAGCGCACGAATTTTTATACATTTAATCGCATCTCTTACTCTCTCTCTTTCTCTCTTTTACTCTCTCTTACTCTCTCTCTCTCTCTCTCTCTGTCTCTTTCTCTCTCTCTCCCACTCCCACTTACATACTCGCGCGGAGGCCACGATAGTCATATAGCTTCATACATTATTATAATATATATATATATATATATATATAATATTTTGTGTTAATTTTTAGCTAGTTTTATTTTTTACCTTCATTTTCATTTGGTTTAACCTTTTCCTTCTCTCTCTCTTTTTTTTTTATTCTATTTCTCTCTCTCTCTCTCTCACACACGCATACTCTCATTCTCTCTCTCTGTTTCTCTCTCTGTTTTTTTTTTCTTTTCAATAGTTTACGGTATATGTATAATAATATATTTTTATGATCTTTTTATCTTATATCGCGCGGCTATTGTATTAGCTATAGGTAATATCTGTTTCTGTATGTATGTATGTATACATGTATGCATGTAAGTGTATTTTGTGGTATGTATGTATGTGAGTGTATCCTTTGGTATGAATGTATCTATGTACGCATGTGAGTGTATCCTGTACTATGTAGGTATGTATGTAGGCATGTGAGTGTATCCTGTGGTATCTATGAATGTATTTATGTATATAAGTGTAATATGAATCTGTATTATTTTATATGAATTTTTGTTGTTGTGTTGTGTGTATGTTAATAGTTTTTATTTGTTTTTAATCATCATTTTTTGTTAATTTTTTTTTTTTTTTTTCATTACTTGAAACATACTTGGCAATTATTCACGTCTAATAAGTGTACAACGAAGCATTATTTTTTCTTTTTTTTATTTTTATTTTTATTTTTATTTTTATTTTTATTTTTATTTTCTTATAATTGGTAAATTTTTTTTTATCTTTTCCTTTTCTCTCTCTCTCTCTCTCTCTCTCGTTCTCTCGCGTTCGTTTTTTTTTAAATTAATTTTTTCTTTCCTATAATCATCATCATCATCTTCTTCTTCACCAATATACAGGGGTTAACCTATATTAATAATAATCTTCGATCACGAAAAAAAAAAAATTCAAAAGGGGGGTTATTTTTGTTTCGATTATTTACTTCACACCATAGTCATGAATTTTATAATTAATTTTATTAATTTTATTTCTATCTTTTTTTTTTCCCCCGTGCTTATTACCACCAACCATACTTAATCAGTTTTAATTCGACTCCTTGAAAACGCCCTAACAAAACGGTTCTTTTAGTACTCGCTTATGTGGTTAGTACGTTTCAACGCTTATGTTTGACCTTTTTAAGGTGCTTATTGAAAAATGCGTGCGTGCGTACGTGCGTGCGACACGTCTCTCTCTCTCCCTCTCTCTCACACATATTTTCTCATTCTCTCATACACACACATACACACACATTCATACATTCATACAATTTATCTATCATACTCTTGTATACACTCATACAACATAAACGTGTACACCACCGGAAAACATCTCATTTTTCTTCTCTTTTTTCTGTCTCTCTGTGTCATACTCGTCGTTCCATTCACTTTAACGATCATACACAGAATCACTCAACACACATACACACACATATATATGTCATACATACACATGTTCTTCTTTCTCTTGTTCGTTAGGAGTAGTACCGTAGTCGCACGCGTGCAATTGATATGTCAATGGTTTCTTTCTCACAGCGAAGTTTCAGCTCGTCCGAGGGAAAGCGTAGTTAATTTTCTTCTTTTTTTTTTTTTTCCTTTTCTTTTCTTTTCTTTTCTTTTCTTTTCTATTATTATGATTTTTTTTTTCTTCCTTTTATTTTTTTTTTATTTTTTATATAATATCCATCTTTCTCTCATTTTCATTAGACCAATTTTTTCTTCTTCTTGTTCTGTCTCTGTGTTTTGTATGTTCTTTTTTTCCATTCATTCTTCCATTCTCCTTTTCACGTTCTTCGTTTCTTCATCATCATCATCATTATCATCATCATCATCATTTTTCTTTCTATTCCATTCATTTTAAAACGCATAACGTTGATCATCGTAGTGCGTGTAGTTGTTTCTTGTAGCCTCTCAGGGTTATTTCCAGCTGTTGGCTGGAAAAAGAAAAAAAAAGAAAAATGTATGAAATCCGTCAGATGTTGATTTGTGTTGAAAATCCACCATTCTCAACTTTCACCTCCTCTTACTCTTCATTATGAATTCCTTGTTGTTATTGGACAAATGATCTTTCTCGTTAAGTGAATTAAATTAACGATAATTTCATTTCCCTAAATCCCCATAGTCTTCCACCATTTTATCCAATATTTTATTCTATATTTATTTTTCATCATTAACCACATTAGTTTAAGAGATAAAAAAACGAGAGAGAGAGAGAGAGAGAGAGAGAGAGAGATGGAATAAAATTATCGTTAATTTCGATTCGAGATAAGATCAATTTAGCTTACCTTTGTAGTAGAGATCCCTGTTCATCGTTGGACAATTTTTATGCTGAAAACAGAAAAAAAAACAAAATGATAAAAGAAGAAAATATAGGGAGACAAAATATGGGAAGATAATCAAATATTGTTCTACGTAGATAATACTAGAAATCTTCCTAACTACGTATCTATGTCTATCAATAACGAATATATTGATCTATCAGAAATAAAAAGGTGAAATTCAAATGAAAAAGGAAAGAAATTACATGTATGAATGACTAACTTGATTGACTGAACGAACGAATGAGCAAATGAATGAATGAATGAATGAATGAATGCATGAATGAATGCATGAATGAATGAATAAGGGAAATAAATAAAAAAAAAAAAAACAAGTAAGGAATAATTATTTGTTCTAGGTAGATAATACTACATCCTAACTACGTACCTATGCCTATTCATATCGAATATTGATTTATCACTAAAGAAAGGTGTACCAATTGAAAAAGAACAAAAAAATAAGAAAGAAATTACGTATATGAATGACGACTTAACTTGATTGACTGAACGAAATATGAGTAAATGAATGAATGAATGAATGAATTAAATAACCCTTTGAGTGCTGAATACTTTTAACTAAAGTGTTTTGTAGAAGTGGAATAATTTATTATTAATCAGACTCTAATAATAAATTAAATTTAACTAGGGATGTTGCGGCACGCTTTACTGTGGTTCACAATCAGTCCGATACACATGTCTATAAGTCAACGAATTACCTTCTACCGTCATCTGTTAGAATGATAAAAACTATCCTATCTTTCAAGTTGAATGAAACTGCACACAGTGTGTAAAATTTTATTCAAATCGGTTCAGTAGTTTAGGAGTCCATTGCGGACAAACACTGTGACACGTAATTTATAAATATGTATTAAGAAGATAATTAAAGTTTTTGTTTTTGTGAATATAATTTAATTAATTCTTATTAACAAACACGTATATGCGTTGATAGACCAATCTGATAATTTTTACCAAACGCATATATGCGTCCATAGCACTGTAAGGTTTAATGAGATAAAAAAACCTATGCCTATCGATATCAAATATCGATTTATCCTCCCCAAAAAAGTGTGTACCAAATGAAAAGGAAAAAAAAAAAAATAAGAAAGAAATTACGTATTGGGATTTATGGCAGGAACGTGGCGTAGCAATTCGACCTATTTACTCTAATTTTGAATTTAACCACCAGATAGCGTATTCAAGTGCCAGACATCCCACCACGTGGCGTAGCAATTCGACCTATCTATTCTAATTTTGAATTTAGCCACCAGATCGCATATTTAAGTGCTACAGATCCCAATATGAATGACTTAACTTAATTGATTGAACAAAAACGAATGAGCAAATGAATGAATGAATTAATGAATGAAATCAAAGTAAAAACAAAAACAAGTAAGGAATAATTATTGAAAAAGAAATGAATCAATCGTACCTCCGCACTAAAATCGATGTTGGTTCGTATGGGACGATGGTGGAGTGGTTGAATCGGTCTAATGTTGTTCCCAAGCTTCGCATTTGGATGTTTCATGTCACCCTGATACAATTGTCGTAGCGCATGGAGCTGCGATCACACGTGAAATCGTAAACGTTAAATTGTCTATGGTCGATAGTGAAAACCCTTCCCCCTCCCCCTCCTCCTCCTCCTCCTCCTCCTCTCATTCCTCTCATTCCTCTCATTCCCACATTCTGCTTTTGAAAACAACCCTCACTTCCACCCCTTTCTCTTCTTCTTCTATTTCTTCTTCTTCAATGGTTAAATGCGCTTTCGTTAAATCGATACACAAGTTTATCATGGGCGAGGGTTTGCAAAATTTTTAAATGATGGATAGAGAGAGAGAGAGAGACAGATAAAGAGAAAGAGAGAGAGAGAGAGGAAGAGGTTTTTTTTTATTTTTTTTTTTTTAAATGCGTATCCGGAACACGATGGTATTATCTGGGAGGAAAAGAAAAAAAGGTAGAAAAAGTATTTGTTTCCTGATGGCACGCTCGATGAATATCTTTTTCTCTATTTATCTATCTATCTATCTTTTTCTTTTTTTTCATCCCTCTCTCTCTCTCTCTCTCTCTCTCTCTCTCTGTGTGTGTCATTCTTTTTATCTTTTGGTTTCTGTCTCCCTTTTGCGGAAAAGTAATTAACGAAGCGCTTTTTACTTCGTTTGCGATGGAAATACTTATTTTCCATCTCGATTGCGTTCGTTTTTCCGGAAATGACGGGGGTTTAAAAAATCATTCCATGAGAGAGAAAAAGAGAGAGAGAGAGAGAGAGAGAAAGGTTTGTAGTATTCTACCAATCCTATATATATTGTATATGTGTATGTGTGTGAACGGTAATCACCGAACGAACGAACGAAAAATCGATCTCTCAGGCAAGTAATTTGCTACCCTCTGTGTCTCTCTCTCTTTCTCTCTTTCTCTCTTTCTTTCTCTTTCCATCCCTCTGTTTCCAGAAACGAAGAAGAAAATTACAGAGAAATCGAGAGAGAGAGATAGAGAGAAAGAGAAAGAGAACGAGAGTTTCCGCGTCCCCGAATTCGACGATCGCAATCGATTCGAAAATGAGAAAAGACAGAATGAACGATCGATTTATTGCATCCCTCTTACTTTAACTATAAAAAAAAAAAAAAAGAAAAGGAAAAAGAAAAAAAGAGGTAGAATGAAAGATAGAAAGAGAAATTGAATAAAAAGGGGAGATAAAGGAAGAAATATAGTAGGCCCTCGACTTTCGCACATAATTGTTTCCCTTAAAGTGTGTGTGTGTGAATGTTGAATGATCGAAAGTTGAGGGATGGAACAAAATATGCAACATAAACTGTGTTTTTTTTAATCCTTTTTGAACGTATTCAATTTCGACATGGGTGCTTAGTGGTCCGAATTTATTTATATATTATATTTAATTTAATAATATATTAAATATTATATTATATTATATTTAAATTATTTTCTATATTTTAATATTTTTATATAATTAATATTTACATATTAATTATAATTTTTTTTTTTTTAATAATATAAAATATATTATATATAAAACTAAATTATATGCAAATAAATTCTATAAAAATAAATAATATATATAAAAAAAAAACTTATACATAAGATTAGCAAGGTTTCTTGTATGATGGGTGAGAGTAGACACGAAATTAAAAATATTCCAAAGTAAAATTGTGCGAAATTCAAGGACTACCCTTGTAAATGATTAAAATATCAAATGAAATAATTATGAGAATATGTAATTTCTTACCTGCTGTTTGGTAATATATATAGGTTTGTTCAATATTATCCACGTCGTGGTCTCATGGCAAGCAGGCATCGTGGTTGAACCATCGTACGTCATGTAATGCTTCGTGTCCGGTAGAAGATCGCGTACGACGAAATGTGTAATTTCCACGGCCTGCCCTGTGCAATTCGTTCGGTCGATAACGTCAAACATGCCACGTACGCAACACACCTACATCCAACGGATTAGTATCGACATACCGAATACAGACTTGCATTCTGTTACATCCGCCGTTATGCAGGTATCTTTGTCTTTCGACGTATGTATGTGCATATGCATACACAAATAGATTTTCATACATGCTTGTGTGTGTGTGTGTGTGTATGTGTGTTTGTTTCTACGTATCTCTCTCTCGAGCCCTTTCTCTCTCACATTTTCAAATATAAACCTGAATTCCTCTCTCTCTCTCTCTCTCACTTATATATAGTTGCATACATACTTCAACATCCGATCGAATAGTTCTCTCTTTCCAACGAATGGACACGAAGAAAGCGTTTCCAATGGAAATCAAATGGTTTTCAAAGCTCTACAGGACGCGCCAATCGATTCTTTATGCTTCCCTTTTCGTTTCGTTGCCTTTATCTTTTTTGTTTTTTTTGTTTTTGTTTTTTTTCATATCCTTATTTTTTTCCATTTCCTTGCATATACAAAAATTTGATATATATGTACGAATTGTTAATTTTATTTCATTTTCATTACAAATGTATCAAATATTTCAATAGATTTCTGTACTATGTGAACTACGAAAACTATGTTTGTATCATAATCAAATATTTTCTTATACATTTTGTATTAACCTGTGTTGAATTCTATCAAAACTTGAAACACTGTGAGTACATTTGATCAATTTTTGCTTCAGTCAAACTGTATTTTGGTTGCATGCAAAAAGTATAAACTTGTATAAATACTATTCTTATTTTCGGTTCACCCCACCACCCTCCTCTACTTATATTTATGGTAAAATGGACGTTGCCCCTATGTCTCCTTTTTTCATTTGTATTTCTATTTCTTTCTCTATTCGCGAAATAGAACAATTTACCAAAAGAGATAGATAAGGAAAAATCTTTTTCCTACAATTTTTCTCATTCGTTGGAGAAGACTTTGGGAAACGACGTCCCACGCGAAAATCCCATTTTCTTTTTCTTCTTCTTCTTTCTTTTTTTTCTTTTTTTTTGTTTTTCTTTTTTTTTCTCGTAGCGAGACAAAAATATGAAGACGAATTTAAAGTTGGAGACAGAGAATTATTATTGGTCGTGCTACTCTTATACGTTGAAGATACTTCGAGAGCAATATAAAAGAGTAAAAAAAAGAGGTTTTTTTTTTGTTTTCGTCTGAGATTCGTTTAAGTTTTTTTTTCTTCTTCTTCTTTCTTATTTCTTAAGAGTACAACAAATGCGATAAGGGTGGCAAATAAGCGATAACAAAAAATATATACGCTAGCTTTACTCGAGCAGGGTATGTATAATATGTAAAGAAGTACTTGGGTATCTTACTTTCTTGACAATTGCAAAAAAAATGAGAAAAAGAAAAAGAAAAAGAAAAAGAAAAAGAAAAAGAAAAAAAAATGTTGACGCGTCGTGCTCATTTATCTCGTACTTTACTGGAGCACGTTTATATTATTTATATATATATATATACAAAATAAACTAATAAATTATATATGTAATATAAAAATGTACATATATTTAAAAAAAAATATAAATAATATAAAATATTTATTATAATATATATTTTTTTAAAATATATTATATAGTATAAATATATTATATATTATAATATAAAATTATATAATAATTTTTAATTATTTTATTATAATATTATAATAATAATATTATATAATATTAATGTAGTAATTAATAATATTAACAATATAATATTATAATATAAATATATTATATAATATTATATAAAATATTTATTATAATTTATATTTTTTAAATATATTATATAATATTAATATATTCTATATTATAATATAAAATTATATAATAATTTTTAATTATTTGTTATAATATTAATATTATAATATTGATATGTGTGTGTTATAATATTTATATATATATATTATATAATATTATAGTATTATAACATTAATATGTTATAATATTAATATATATTAATTATATTATTAATATTATAATATTGTAATATAAATATATTCAATAATATAATATAAAATATTTATTGTAATTTATATTAAAAAAAAAAATATATATATATATATATATAAATAAAATAAAGTGAAAGAGAGAGAGAGAGAGAGATGGGAATCGTGAAACATTAAAACGAAACAAAGAGAGAAAACATGCACAAAACAGCCTCTCTTTCCCACTATCCGACAATATACATTAACGCGAAACAAGTTTACCGTTAAATAAATGAAATGGATTTTGATGTCTCTCCCTTCTCCTTCTTTTTTTCCCCCTTTCTTTTTTTTTTTTTTTTGTTCGCACATTTCAAAGAGGGAAACCGAATGAGAGGGAGAAAGTGGAAATAAAAAGCATTTTCGAGAGTAGAACATGTCGTACTCGGTACCATATAACTTCTGTCTAAAACGGCTTTTTCCGTATCTCCATCAGAAACAGAGAAATTCGCACGAGAGAATTTCAATAGGACATCCTGCAAGTTTCAACTCTTCTCTGTGTATGCATATACACATATACATATATATAAATGTTGGTGTGAATGACCTTACCCACCTTACCCATCTTCCTTTCTATATATATATATATATATAGAAGTATGTCTCTGGTGTCTCTAATATACATGTGTTTGTATATGCACGTGTGGTTTGTACGAATTAAAAAGAAAGAGAGAGAGAGAGACAGAGAGAGAGAGTATATGTATATGGGAATGTRTATATGTGTGTGGGTATGGGTGTGTGTACGCTCGAGTGGCATAGTAGTATAAGTCAATTATTTCTTTTGACGAGAGAGAATCATTGAAGTTTGGGTTGAAAAGTTTAATGAAAAAAAAATCTGGGCAAAGTTTAAAGCAGCTTAGAAGGCGACGACGACGACGACGACGACGACGACCTACAGTGACCAATCACGGTCGAATCGAATTATTATTTTTGACTTTGGCCCTTTTTCTTCGGGGGCGGGCGTTCGGGGGGTTTCGTGCAGACTAAACGATTTTCATTTTATTCCCCTTTTCTCTCATTCTCTAACTTTTATGAAAGTATGTTTTACATGTAATATGTATACTGTACTGTACGTGCATGTATGAGAAAGAGAGAGAGAGAGAGAGAGAGAGAGAAAGAGAGAGAGAGAGAGAGAGAAAAAGAGATACAAAATGAAACATATAAAATGAGTTAGTTCATTGAACGAATAAAATGTTATTTTGTTTTGTGTATTTTTAGTGTTTCAACAAAATTCATCTTGAATAAAAAAAAAAATAAAACAAAAAAAAAAGAAAGAAAGAAATTAATTAAACGCTTTTATCGTTAATGACATTAATGAAAATAAAAACCTTTGCAGTACGTGTCGACATATTTTTGAAATTTTCATTTAAATTAAAATACGTGCATCTATATATATTATTTTTCATTTGAATATAATATATATATATAATAATATGTAATATTAATATATAAAATAATATATAAAATAATAATATATTTATTTATATATTAATATTTTAATATATTATATAATTATTATATATTTAATATTTTATAATTATGTTATAATTTATATATAATAATATTATACAATATAAATTATTATAATTTAAATTTATAATTTATAATATTATTATATATACATAATATTAATACATAAAATAATATGTAAAATACTATATATATAATATATTATATATATATATTAATTATATATTTTTATATATTATATATAAATATAATATTATTATAATATTAATATTATAAAAATAATATATTATATCAAATTTTCCATTAAATCAAAATAATATATTACGAATATAAATGTTGATATAATATTGATACTTGTCAAAATCTGAATGAAAAGGTTGTTGATGTATGAATAAAAATATTAAGTGTCAGAATATAAAAATATAAAAAAGCATGGTAAAATTGATCTAATCACAGGTAGGATATGCGTGATCGCATGCATAATGCTTCACACGTTCTCAGTCAGCTTCTCACCTCCGTATTTGATTTTATCCAGTTGCTGGGTAAACGTTCTCAGCTGTGGGTTTGACAGATCTCCTACCTAAAAGACAAACGGGGTAGGTACGTCTATCACGTATCACATATTCTGATCACATCTTCTCTCTATCTTCTTCCCGTCTCTTTCTCTCTCTCTCTCTCTCTCTCTCTCACACACACACACACACACACTCTTATTCACTCTCAGTCTCTTATGGTTAGTTGGTGTCTATTCCCTGTACTCTCTCTTGTCAGACTACTATCGATAAACGTCGACAATAAGAACAAGGGAATAAAAGAATAAGAGAGAGAGAGAGAGAGACAGACAGAGAGATAAAGATAAAGATAAAATAGAGATGTAAAGTATAAAAGAGGGGAAAAAAAAAGAAGATAAAGTGCATGTATTTACCTGAAGTAAAAGGGAGACTGCAACGATCCCTTGTGCTCTGTGCAACGCGTCCGAGAAATTGTTGTACAACTGGGAATTAAATCCGAATATCTGGAGCTGTAACGAAGAAGAAGACAAAAAAAAAAGAGAAGAAAAAGAAAAGTACAAAGTAGTAGTAGCAGTAGTAGTAGTAGTAATAAGAATATAAATAGACATAAAGAGAGAGACAGAGAGAGAGAGAGAGAGAGAGAGAGAGAGAAAGAGACAGATGGGGTTGGAATATAAAAAAAAAGTAAAAAAAAAAAAATAATGAAAAAAGGAAGAAAGAAGGAAAATGGATAAAGAATCCCTGGTATTCGGTGGATAAGAATAGAAAAAGCTCGTTTCGGAATAGGGAATACTTGTGCCAGTGAAAAGGTCGCAAAGGCACTCCTTTATTTCGATGGGATCGCTAATCCAATTAATTTAATCGAACCGTACCCGTACCCGTACCCATACCCGTTCAAAGGAATACATAGGTGAGTGAGAAAACGCCACTTTATTGGCTCCAGACACGAGATACACCTTGTTGTTCATCTTCTTATTGTTTTTCTTCTATTTTTCTATCTTTTTTCTTTTTTTTTGTTAAGATACAAAGTTGCTTTGATAAGTACGTAGATAAGTTGGTAGAGGTTTTTTTATTTTTTTAATTTTTTTTTATATTATTAAAAGCTTATCAGAAAATGTGTTGTCCTATGAAAAATAAGATCGATTAGATACGAACCCTAGCTCCATTCCCCCCCCATTCCCCCCTTTCCCCCTTCCCTCGAAGGATCCGTGCTCGAGTGTCGATAAACCAGAAAGACACTTGATAAACATCTTCCACTTCTTCTTCTTCTTTTTTCTTTTTTCTTTTCTTTTCTTTTCTTTTCTTTTCTTTTCTTTTACATTTAAGTACCCTACTTTTAATATTTAGAATATTCATACGTTGCATGAGATAAAAAAAAATTTTTATTTTAAAAATAAACTCAAGTATGTTATATACCGTTTTTGAATTTTCTTTGAAAATAATTAAAAATCATTTATATTAAAGATTTTTATGTTTTAAAAAAGGCAAATCGTGTAATTACGTTATATCCAATACTAATCGAATAAAAATAACTTATATATATATATATATATATATCATTTATTAAGAAGAATATTTTCGAATGGTGCTTTCCCTATCGAGGTTAAATATAATTTAATTTATGAAAATTACGGTCGTTTACCTTGTCTGATAAAAAAAAAAAATTCAAAGTTTAAACCATTTGCACTTGGTTGTCCTCTCTGAGGGGACAATGTAAGTGTTGCATATCACACGGTTGTCCCCTCTGAGGGGACATGAAAGTTTATTAGCCATTACGGAAAATGAACTTGTTTCACTGTAATTTTTTTCAAGAAACACGTGTCTTCCTGTAATTTTCTATTAAAATTGCACACAAAAAGAAAAACAAATCGAATTATGATAAAATTAAGAAATATATAATAATAAGATAATAAAAATGATAATAATAAGAAATATATATTTAAATAAGAAATTTTAATATATATATAAATTACGTGTCACGTTGTTTGTTCGTAATGGACTCTTACATTACAGAACCGATTTGAATAAAATTTTGCACACTGTGTGCAGTTTCAATTCAACTTGAAAGATAAGATAGTTTATATCTCAATTTATAATCGCAATATTATTTTATTGCCAATTATTTGTTGTATAAGGTAATTCGTTGACTTAAAGACGTGTTAATATACATTGTAACATTTAAAAATGAATCATAATAAAATTGTGTTGTTAATTAAATCGATCATAAACGATTGAATTTTTAGTTTGAAAAAAAAAAAAACAAAAAATTCGATATCAATGTCGTAAAAAAAATATTTCAATCCTATCATCAGAGTTATAGTTGATGATCATGAATTCAAAGATGATAATTAATCATAGACACCTATATATTATGTATCGATAACTGCATACATATATGTACATATATATACAAGTGTTCGTGTACAGTATGAGTAGAAAGTTAGGAACAGGATACATATGTAAACCAAAACCTTTGGAGGTATCCCTCATGAATAAAAATTCAACGAATTTGGATCAGGTGGATCAAATTAATTGGCTTTCCAATATTGATCCATTTATTTTGGAATCTCATATAATAATACGTGAGAGATAAGAAGCTTACTACTATTCGTAAGTAGTTTTTAACAAGTTATTACTAAAGTTTAATATAAATTTATTGGAAAATACGATAAGATAAGATAATATCATTTGAAAATTAAAGATCAAATTATTGTAGATGATATGAAGATGATACTTCAAAAATACTTTGTTTAATTAAGTTCACGTACTTTGAAACAAATAAGTAAAGATACGTGACAAGTTAGGTGTGTAAGTTGATAGAAAATGTAAGAATGATGATATCGAAGGTGTTATGGGTACGAAATAAAGATGAGTACGTTTACATCTTTAGAGATGATTTTTTTATGGTGGTTTTTTCTTTTTCTCTAACTGTATATTGGACATAACCATTGGTAATGCATTTAAATGAAAAAATGTTTATTTCTTTGATTGAATTATCAAATTTTTCTTTTATTTATTATTGACATTAACTATTGGGTTGTTTGGAAATTAATTTTGTTTTTTCTTGACTCAAACAGGTGAATAACAACACGTGAAATCGTTCAGAGTTTAAATTTATCAAATTGAACTACTTAAACCCACTTGAAAAGCTTAGGTTTAACTTCGAAACGAAAATTGTCTTCATTATCACAAAAAATGAAGTGGCCACATATGTGGCCAAGGTTGTGAAAAGGTTGATCAAATAATAGGAGATAAGGAATAGCAATTAGATTAAAAAATTAGAAAAGAAGAAGAAGAAGAAGAAGAAGAAGAAACCCACCTCAGCGGGAAACGAGTGTCCATCTATGAAATGCTCGCTACCTATGTGATCCTCCAATCCAAAATGCAGGTGAATCTCGTGAAATTGATAACGGTAACTGAGGGGCCCACCGGATATATTGACAGGATGGCGGGTATCGTTTTCGACCGCGAATACCACACTGTGACCGGTGTTTGCCAGAACACCACCGACTTTATGCTTGTCTAGGTGAAGTGGCTGTAAGTTTGGGTCGAAGAGAAGTCTGTTTGGCTCCAAGTTCACCGGTGATTGTCGTCTACCTTTGTTACACAGCCACCAATCTGGATTTATCAGGCCCCAAAATGCTGGACCTTAAAATCATTCAAATACAAATAATTAACACCAATTATTTTGACTGATTGATCTTTGATTTCATTTGATTTGATTTGGTATTAAGAATGTTTTCATAACAAATATTCTTCGTTATTGTACTTATTGTTATTATAAATCTCAGAACATGGAGTTCTTTTTGTAAAATAATAATAAGTCAATAAATATAAAAATATTCTACTTTTACATCTTTTTTTGAAGACCAGTCATTTTGATTGGATTTTGGTAGAGTTAGTTATGTTTCAACTGTTGGTAGTTCTAGTGTTAATACGTTTTATATTTATTTTATTATTGTTATTAATTATTTGTTGGTTGTTTTTTTTTTCTTTTCTTTTATGTCACTTTGAGCGATTTATTAGGTCCCAAAATGCTGGACCTTTCAATTTTACAATTAAATTACAATGAAAACTTTATCTGATTATTGTTGTTCTTATTTTAATGATTTTTTTCTTTTTTCTTTACTGTCACTTTGGGGTGAATAAAACAAAAACAAAAAATAGCAACGTTTGGATTTGCACGATAAGCTGTCTTTTTTTTTTTTGTTTTGTATATAAATTTCTTTTTTTTTGTTTTTTACCACGATAAATAACACGAGAGATTTAAATACGAGATTGATCGGTGACGTCGATTTTAAAAGAGAGAGAGAGAGAGAGAGAGAGAGAGAGAGAGAGAGAGTAAAAATAAAAAACGAGGATAAAAAAAAGGATGTTCTCAACGTAGAGAAAATTTATATCGCCGTAGCGATTAGAATCAACGTCGAGATTCGACATTGGTGAAATATGTTCTTACATTTATTCCGATGCTCTTCGATATCTTCTTCGACCGACCAACCAACCAAAACGGAAATTACGTTCCATGACTTTCGGACGATTTTCACATTGAAGAAAAAGAAAACCTCTTATAGTACATAACTCCCTCCTCCCCCCTTTCCCTTTCCATCTTAAATGTATATAATATTTGATAGAATTTATTTCGTTCAGTAAAAATACTTCAAGTGTGGTAGAATAAAAAAAAAAATGAAATAAAATGAAATGATGGATGAATTAAATTGAAAAGAGGAAAGAATAAAGAAAATTTATATAAATTTGTTATTTATATATACATAATCATTTATATATTAATATATATATAATAATTTAATATTATATAATATAATATTAATATTATAGATATAATATTAAATTATTATATATAAATAATATGTAATATAATATATATTATACATATATTATTAAATATATTAAATGTTATATATATAATTAAATATAATATAATATTAAATTACAATATAAATGTATAATATATAAATAAAATATTTAATATTTTATTATTTATTAAATAATTATAATATTAAATATTACATATATATTATATATAAATATTATTTAATATAATAAATATAATATTAAATTACTATATATATATAATATATATAAATAATATATTTAATATTTTATTACATATTAAATAATTATAATATTAAATATTAATATAAATATTTTATTAATATAATATATTAAATATTGTAATATTAAAAATATTATATTAATATAATAATATTATATATTACAAATATTAAATTTTTTTTTTAATTTATTTTTTTTTTGCGAATGCCGAGATTCGAACCCACGAATACCGCGTGTAAGAACTTGTTACTCTAGCATCAAACCACGAAGCCGTTCTTTATATTTAATATTATATAGTATATATTTTAAATTTATTTATATTATAAATTTAACTTTTAATAATAAAAGTAGTCACGTTGGAACAAAGAAGATAGAAATATAAGTAAAAGATTTCTATTTCTATTTCTATATCTATATATCTACAATATATATATCTACAATATATATATATGTCCAAAAGAGAAATATTTCTTTGGATAAAGGAAGAACAAGGACCAAAAGGTATATTCTTGTATGTGTTGCTTTGGTGAAATCTATAAGTCAGACTTATCCCTTCTCGGTCATCCACGAACTCTACACACACACATACATCCATCCATACATACGTACATACATACATACATACAAACATACATACGTTGTTAACACACATACACAAACAAAAACCCATAGAGCTGTTTCCTGTACGGTCATCCCTCTAGAGACTGATTCGACGAGCACGATTTAAAACTTGGACCCGAGTTTATCTCTAAAAGCCCAGCAACGCGTCCGGGATATATCCATGGAATTTATCATTCGAGCGTGTTCCAATTTTGAAGTCTCGCTACGAAGGGTGTACACCAAAAAAAAAAAAAAGAAAAAAAGAATAAAAAACGAGAGAGAAAGAGAGAGAGAAAGAGAGAGAGAGAGAGAGAAAGAAAGAAAGAAAGAAAGAACG